GGTGATAATAGTTTGGACGTTCTCTCGCCGCACTTTCCCAACTCAATCCTCAGGAGAAGCTCCAAACGGGGGCGGGGAGGTGCCGTGTGTCTAAAGTATTCAGCACTTTGCTCCCTCGAGGTCCGGCCACATACACTGACATCAGCTCCACGCCGGTTCCGCGACCGGCTTTGCTCCGGTTCCGCGCCGGTTCCGCGCCGGTTACCCGCCTTTCTGGGTGGCCGCTGGGTCAGGCTGATGGCGTGCTATCAGCGGCTTTCATGGTGCCCTCAGCAGCCCCCGGACACTCTCAGACGCATCTGCGGGTGTCTCCCACGGCCGGCTGAGCGGCGTCGGGCCGTTGGATAGCCCTGTTGGTGTTGGCTGTCCTTTCGACCCGCCGCGGCTAGCCGTAGTGACGAGTGTGGCGGCTGACGGGGGTGTGACTGCTGACGGGCTGTGACGGACGGGCCCAGGTGGTGCCGCGGCGGCGATCACGCCCCCCCCCCCCCACCCCCGGCACTTCCGCTGAATGAGCGATCCACGCGCCGAGTTTTGAGACCACTTCGTACCGTTTGTTGTTCCCGTCAGTCGGTCACTTACTTGCGGTGTTAGTTTAAAATAACGACGAGCTCGGAAAGAGCACTGTTGTGATGGAATACGGGCAAACATATACATTACTTATTTGTCGTAAAATTGGAGACGATGATAGTGAATATGATCAGGTTTATTTGCCTATTCAGTCAGCGGAGTACCCATAGACTTCCCGTATAGAGAAGACTGTCGCCCCATAGTCTATCGATTCGTCTGTTAGTGGCACTTTATGTGTCGTATTTATGCCGTTTCCCTAAAGTGGCCTTATCGAGGATAATTGGATGGAGCTGCATATCAGTTCAGCGCCTCGATATTATACTTTCTTTGTGAATTAAATGCCATTTTGTCCAACATTTAATTGGATATTTTTTTTTCTTCTAAAAAGTGTTGTATTTGTGGCAAGAATAACGTCCATTTTTATTATTTGAATCAAACAATTTAAATAGCTTTTCACTGGCGAATAGAAAACACGAGTCTATCTTATGCCCTTGGAGTTGTTTGTAGTATATGTGAATGGCGCGGCATAACAGTCAATTGCTCCACAAGTTGCCGTCGCAGTCGGAACGTCACACTGTAGAAGATGCCTTACTCGTATATCGCTGTTTTGTGGGCAGTCAGAAAATAAAATCCGAGGATAAAAAATAAGGGTCGGAGATTTATTCGTTGCAGAGATCGATAAACTCATATTCAACCATTCTATTTGCATATTTTGCGTTTAAGTGTGGTGTCATCTGTACCGACATGACTGAATATTTCACAAATGGAGTTACTCACTGGGTACCATAGACCATTGAGAAAAATGTGCATCGCTCAAATTTCCTCCATGGTAACCTGACTAACTCATTATTCGATTGCGCTCAAGTTTGGTCAGGAAATGGCTATTTCTATTTCGGCTGCCCCAAAGACTGTGTGTTGACAGCTATATGGATTTACAGCCCGTTGGTTATCCACACATTGGTTTGCTTTCAGCGTGAAATAGATACACATTTTGATTTATGGCTTCATTGTGTGCGACCTCACGACTACACATGCACCGTAAAAGAACGGCCACCTAAACGTCCAGTTCGCGGCCACCTAGGTGTCCCTCTTTCAGGTGCAGTTGCCAGGGACAAACAACTGCATTGATCGAACCTTTGATTTAGTGACGCTACCAGAAAGCCAAACATTCTTGTGGACCGCCTAGATTCTATGCGAACATCAAAAGCTATACTTGTTACATGTTACATCAAGCTAGTTTGCTGTTTCTTGTGAACTGCAGCATAATATCAATGTGACAACAGTTTTAAGTTCTGTGAACGGTTACTCGCCTGTATGTTTGATATCAACTTCTGACTACCCTATCATAAATGGCGGGCAGTTGCGGAAAAAAATAACTGAAATGATACTGCGTAAGAAGGTTTAACTACATAAGCTATGTGCGTTAACATATAGAGGCTCAGCATACGAGTATAATTAAATAACTATATAACCGCAACACCCTTAGGACAGTTGACATGGTACCTTCTTTTAGCTTTTCATGTGTTTCGCACTTTTCGGCTTCTTTCTTCTGTAAAATTATATTTAGACTATCGATTGACATCATATAGCACGAATAATTAGAAGTAGCATTAGAATTCTATTCGTTTTCTGACACCGCACTGATGACTGATCTATGAGGGCATGCATAATTGCATATTGCATGACGAAAAAACATGTAGAATATACACAATGGGAAAGAAATTGCTCATCATCAAACAAAAAAAAAAAAAAAAAAAACACTCGAGCGTACATACATTCCCACGTGCCCCCTCTGCGTGCCGCGTGACCGCGTGACCGCGTGACCGCGTGACCGCGTGCCGCGTGACCTTGCGGCCCGCTCGTGTCACGGTACCATCGGTCAGGCGTGGACACGTGTCGAATCACGGCGCCGCTCGTCCGTCAGTGGGGGCGGACCGGCGGCGCCGCCCCGTCGTCCGCCACCTCTCCGCATCCATCTCCGCCGACGTCGGCGACGCGACCCCTCGGCCAACTGTCGCACAGACCGACGGCGGACGGCCCGGGGCCCGACCGCGGCCTACAGGTCACTGCCGGCTCATGGGTCGCGCTGAGGTCGGGCTGGGGTTATGGGTCGGGCTGAGGTGGACCTATTAGTCGACCTCAGCCGGACCCATGAGCAGCTAGCTGCCTCAAGACTGAGGCGTAGGATGGGGGTGGGGAGGGGGTCGTCTGTTTACGGTCTGCTCTCGGCGTTGAAAAGCTATCACTTTTGAGAGTTGTGTTTATTTGTGACGTTGCATTGTGGTGAATGCATGGTATAATGCGTGATATTTGTATAGGCCCATTGCGTGGGAGGCTTAGATGCATTGTGTGTCCAAATGTTGCACAGTGTCCGGTTCGCGTTGTAGTTCGATAACCATTGGACTAGCTATTATTTTTAAAGTCATTTGGGGACTTTTTGATAGGGACTAGGCCATTTATGGGACATGTCATCTGACACTGATTAGAACTAATTGTGGTGCAAACTTTGGCGGAACTGTTTGACAATGAACGTTGCCGTTCAAGCAAACTAATATTTTGATTGCCTGTTCTATCTCAGTCGTGTTATTCCGTAGTGTTGAAGATCATGCTCTTAGTTTTTAAACTTCCACCATAAAAGATATCACTATTCATTTGATTTTTGATCTTGTAATGCTGACACGGAATTAAAGCAAGGTCTTAATACCTACTAATTAAACTAATCTGATTAGAAGGAAATGACTGAAATGATAAGATACGCCCCGAAGGCATCTACTTGGCACTCCGGTACGTAGTCTAGGCACTCCGGTCCGGCTTGTTTCTTCCCTATGAATGAATGAATGAATGAATGAATGAATGAATGAATGAATGAATGAATGAATGAATGAATGAATGAATGAATGAATGAATTTTCACCGCGACCCCTGGCGTGTCCTGTCCGCCGAAAGCTGGAAAAGTTTAAACTTCAGTGTGGGCTGCTGTCGGTCGCTTTGACACGCAAACGCGCGAGCGTGTTGCCCGCCTGTAATTAGTTGGAAAGTGGGCTGATCCTGCGTGTCATCGACGACGAAGGTGTCCTCTCTTATCACAGGACACCCCTAGCCTCATCACAGGACACCCCTGCTCTCATCACGGCTGTATGCGCCGCTGCCAAGAGCCGGTGCCACGCCCACACCCACGCACATCGCGTAGCACATGGGGGAGGGGGAGGGGAAGGAGAGGTGCAGTCAATGCATGTTCCCGCTCAAAGTTCATCTGAGTTCAGAAAGCTGTTGGAAGCCAAAACATTGACCTCAAAGTCGTTCAACTGTGTATGTTTGAAGGTGTTTGATGTCACATCATCAGTAATATGCCCCTGTTGCTTTGCCATTAAATTGCAACGCTTGGAAGTTCAACAGTTCAAAAGCAGAGGTAATGTGATTTCTTTCAAATAATCATTTGATAATATTATTTAATGGTGCTCATTTCACAACGTATTTGAATGCAAAATTCCTTGTGCTTATATAAGATGCTTCATATTACTTTTCTGCCGTTCCCTAGTAGCACGAATTACAGCCGATCACTGAACTATAGAGGCTCAGTTCAATAATTCAATTTCACCTGGTATTACCGCGATATCAACAGTGTCATCACTTGTTCTCCTTCCATTCCTCCAGTCCAATTGGAGAGCGGGCCGCCGCTGCATTGTCATCCGCATGTATCATCGGTGGAAAGTTGGCGGCTCTTTTTCTGATCGAGTCTCGGGCGTCTTTCCCTGCCGTCCTCCGCGGAAAAGACGTACGACCCCTCGGCGTCGTTTTTGCACCGTCCGGAAATTGGAGCGCGAACACGGGGGACCGGCGTGAGACGATTTCCAAGACTGGAAACGGAGGGTTGTTATAAAGGTACGCCTCACATTGTAAATGCGGTCATATGTACTTTTTTTGAATTCCTTGCTTTTTATTGAACACCGTTTATATTTCAAATTAGCATTTAATCCATTCTTTCATTTCTCTCATCATCCTAATTGTTCTTAGTTTGCTATAGAGCAGCACGGGCAATCAAAAACTTACTGAGGCGAGGTTGACTGAAGGGCGACCTGAGCTAGGCGGGCTGACATCAATCAGACTCAACTGGCACGGTCGGTCGCTGGCGCAGAGCCCAACTTCAAGTGTCGTGTCGACTGATGTATGACACCTGCTTCGAGGGAATAATTAGCGCCGCAATGCCCGGCGATTTGGGCAATCCGTGTGTCAGCTAGAGAAGGGCGCCGGTCGTTGACTTGACGCGTGTTTTTCTGTGTTGAAATTGCCCTGCTTTTATATGCTAGCGTTTGCAATGCATGAAGAAAGTCAAGAAACGAAAACATCGGTTCGCATGCCTCGGCACCATTTTGCGTAAGGAAAGACACCCCTAGATAGGATGGAAAATGTACAAACCAAATTATTCTTGCACGTATTTCTGTTATGTTTATTTTCGCAGGTATTCGTAACGCACAACGAACTTTCTTAGTTTTTACACTCAGGCATCAATAGAATACCGCTCCAGTCACCACATAACATTCAAACTACTCTCATGCAGTACCTATCACTTTTCCGTGGACCATACCGTCATTTACCAACGCTCAATATTCGTCGCTATGTCACACGCCACTCGAGCCAAACAATGTGCAGGATTCAACAACCATTACTCTCTTTGTTATTTTTCCCTCTCCCACCTTCTTGTTTTCATGATGACACACCTTTAGCAGGAGTGACCTGTTTTACCTGTCCTCTTCGACAGGACCGCACGTCTCCTTCGGCGGCGGCGGCGGCGGGGCATCGGGCTTGTATTTGTCACTGGGTTTTTCTTGGTTTTCATCTGTGGACATGGATCACTCTTTTAAAGCCCAGAGTCGTCGAGAGCATGGGTTCCTTTGAAATTTTCATTGATGCATTCATAATTTTAAACTTTCCAGCAAAGCTGCATATGTCATTCTCTTTGGATCTTAGATTCCTTCATTGATGGCCCAGTGGAGCAGCGCCCCTCACCTGGCGTTCCGTGTGTCGTGAGATGGCGTCTCTCACCTGGTGGCATGCAGGAGCCCAGGGGGTCCACCCCCAGAATATCGTCCGTGGAGCTGGGCAGAGCCTCTCGCTTTCGCCGCTGGTTCTTGGGACCCGGCTCACCGGTCAAAATTTCCAACGCCTCTGCTTGTGCATCTGCGAGGAGAATGAAAAATTACATGTTTGTAATCTACTTGGCTTCATGTAGCAAGTTGTCTTATTTACAGGAAAATGTAGTTAAAAGCAAATGAAATGACAAAATTGCTCTGGATGCGGTAACTCAACTATAAACCAACCCAACCACTATGTTTTTCAGTGAAATGGCCCGAAAAAACACATTACATTATAAATTAATCTTGACATAGACCTCGGTATACAGAGGTCTATGACCTTGATAATTTAATTGTTGGCTCACTAGGGCTCATTTTCTTGCCAACGTCACCCTCTGCAACACTAGCTCGTAATAGCGATGACAAACCAACAAGACCATGGCCTACCTTTTCCTTTGTCACCGGCGCCTGGCAGTGGTATGGAGGCGCAGAGCTGGACCAGGGCGAGCCCGACCAGCAGGATGGCCAGCTTCATCTCTGACGTTGGAGCCCCCTGGATGCTTTTTGAGGTCGAGTTGGAGTCGAGAGGCCTCGCTCGCCCGATGATCGGGGCTCTATGCGGGGCGCGGCGACGATTGCTCGCCTTTTTGACGAGCCGCTGTCGTCACTGCGAACTGGCCGTCACAATATGTGACGTGTGATGATGTGTGGTGACGTGTGACGCTGTGTGACGACATGTGACGTGGTGTGACAAATGTGGTTCTCGTTAGCCGCCGCCCTCAGGTGACAGGGGGTGGAGAAACATGTTTTTGTCGTGTCAAGGCGCCCGGATTTCGGCGTGACTATTTGACAGCGTGTTTTGATTGGCCGCTTGCACCGCCCAGTTTTGTGTAAAATTGATACACATAATAAGCAGGGTTTCTGGGACTGACGCAGAAGGCCTCTCGTAGTTATCATGTAATTCAATTTACAATTACATTACTATTTTTACAACTACTACAATTACTTATTACTACTAATTACAATTACTATTATTTACAATTTACATTATAATTTACAATTCAATTGTATGTTAGGAACAGAAGCGAAGAGAACCTCACAATTAGGTTATCGATAGGTATTAGGTATCACAGCTATGAACGATAGTTGTGGACTACGCTATGACGATAATTCTGGTGTATTTATCACAACAAAAATACGTACGAGATTGAACTTTCCGACACCTCTCGCTCATACACCATTAAACCTTCGCATGTCTAGCACACTACCAAAACCATGCTCATTTTTCTACGTAATCCACTAATGATTCGTCTTTTTTGACAGGTGCTCAACATCGAGGACCCTGGTCTGCGGGAGGCCATGAACGTGGCCCTGAAGAGCGGTCACGTGCCCATCGAGGACCAGTGGCGCATTGACGCCATCACCAAGCGCTACCACCAGTGTCTGGCGCAGCCCGAGATGCCCCCGGGCGCCGCAGGTGGGTCAGGGGGGCGAGGGAGGGTCACGGTAGTGTCAGGTCACCGGTGTCGGCTCGGCTGGTGTGAGGCAGGTTCGTGTAGATATCTTTGCTGATGTGCAGACGAGGTAAGCTATTTCTTTTCTGGACGTAATTGGATGAGGCGTAAGCTATAGTAGCGCCATGGGAGGCCTTGCCCATTCCGTCGTATTAGATCTCGCTCGTTAGTGTTTATAAGGAGAACTGCTGCGGCATATTGCTGCCGGGGCCGGACCACATGTCCGGAGCGCCATCAGCATGCATGGCGAGCCTCCACTGGCCTTCTGGTCGGCGCCGGGTGGCACGTTCTAACGCCTTGTTGCTGCTACCCACCTCTTATCTAGACTAAAATTGAATAATTCAACACTGCCGCAGGAGAATGGCGCGTTAGAAACTGTAAATAATCCCTTTTTACCAAGACCTTCACGTGGCTTGAATGTAAAGTATGATGAGTAAAGTTTTCGGTAGTTTACCTTGTGCAAGGATTACCATACACAATTCACATACTATCATTGCTGTGTCAGGTCAATAATGATTTAACATCGCACCTACATACCTCTCTTCGGCTTGCCATTCACACAGACTGCCCACTGTTAATGAATCAAATAAATGAACAATCATGCATCACCTGACATCGATCACATTAGTGCATATCGGTGGGGTTGCGGCCCACGCCGATCGCTGGTGAATGGGATGACCTCCCACGAGCCGATGTCACGTGACGCGCCCTGGGGGCACGGGCGAGATCGACCGGTCAGCCGGGCGTCCCATTGTCCCCGAGTGACATCCATAGATTGATGGTGGTGGGGTAAAAGCAGATGCCGAAAGAACGACCGAGGCGCGGGTCACAGGGCCATTGTGCGGGTGCCTGAGTGCGCCTCGGGAGAGAACGATAAAGGTGGGCGCTTTCTGGCGAGATGCGCAGCAAGGGTGGAGATCTTTCGGTTTAGAATGCTCAGTGCTTACTGAAATCTTGCCCGGTCAATGTTTCGTAACTCCGGTGATCGGGAGATGGATAGGTAATGGGACCCCATCTGTCGATTGGCTCCCATACGGCTTAGCAAAGAACTACTATACCCAGCAGACCATTTTCCTGGCGTTTTTTTTTTTTTTTTGCAAGTATTGCTTTCATGTAAAAACGTTGATGCTTCATCTGCCCGTCACAGACCAACCTGTCATCATATGCTGTCTACCAAGTCCATGGAGTAATTGGGCTGCACTTCTCTCTTCGCCTCTAATAAAAAAGCATGCGTCGCACCGAAGCCCATCACGCTCCATCATTTAAATCCAGATTAGTGGCTGTGCTTTTTCCGCTCACCGTCCCCTTCCACCGTGCCTCCCCCTCCTCTCTCTACTCGCGCATCAGGCCGAGAGAGCTACGCGGGGAGGAGCGTGGCCAGCCCCGGTGACAGAGTGGTCCCATTAGCCGACCTCGGAGTGCACGTCACTCGAATGGGCCCTCTTCCTCACCCTAGTGCCCCGTATGGACGCTAGGCCAAGAATTGAGGCGGAGACGCTCGCTGATTTCTGCAGCGCGCCGCCGAGAGTCTCTTGTGACCATTTGCTGTTTGAAGTTAGGAGTCAGATAGCCTTTAGCTGTTGACATACAGCGATATGCAGGGATCAGACACATGAGACTTCTGTCATCACAACTTGTCATGATTCACTCTCATGCCCTCCATGCCGATACCTTAGTGATGACTGGGGACTGTCCAATCGCTGCTCAGATCCATCACAACACTTGTCGATCTGTCCACATTGGCAGTCTTTGACCGGCCCCAGTCTCTCGTCAGTTTCATCGATACGAGCCCTGAGTCGTGCTCGTCGATGTGTGTTTATTGTAAAGCCAATCGTAGAAGGCATTACAGGAGTTTGATCGACCCTGATGTCACCGTATACGAGTTGACAGACTTGTTTATATTTGTTTTTGAGTGGGTTCTAAAAATAGGTGCAAGACTCGGAGAAAAGCGAGAAGACAAAACAGACAAACTGATCTTGTAGCTGAACTTGCAGCTGCATTGTGCAGGCTGTGATGCATAAATAGTTGTGTTTGATGTGTCCACCAGGCATGCCATGATTGTCGTCCAAGCTTGTTTCGTCGATATTTCTTAGCTGCTACCAAGCGCCAATCGTATCATATCCGACCCCACAGTGATACTGACGCAACACTGTGGGATTTACAAGGGATTGCGTCAGTAGGTAATTCAAATCAGCTTGATCGTATTCAACCACGGGATTTGCAAAGCTTCTGACACATTTCACACCTAATCTTCTAAAAGAGTACGATCCCTGCAATTTTAACTACTAAGCGGGGCTCCCAACGATGCAGCATATGTCGGTCGGATGGGCGGACTGGGCCTGAAACCCCGCTTGGGATGGTTGGGAGGTCGACCCTCGTTTGGGATGGAATGACTGTCGGCGTTCGGACAGTCGGCCCCCGGTCGGGGCTGTCGGGGAGGTCGGTTGGGGAGGTCGGGGAGGTCGGCTCGGTCGACCCAGACCGGCGCGGCGGTCGGACAGCCCCCCCCCCCCCCCGGTCGGGCAGGTCGCCCGTCAGTCGGGGCGGTCGGCCGACGCGAGTGGGTTGTCCGCTCTGAGGTATATGACGGCGGTGACGGCGTCACAGCTTGTTACTCGCTGATGACGACTCCCGGGGAAGTCGGGCCGGCAGCTGGGGAGCGGTCACCATATCTCCAGATTGGTTTCCGGCCCGACCCCGCGGCCGTGCCAAAACGAGTGGCAACGGCTAATGAGCCCGCCAGTGGCGCTGTTTTTGATAGCTTTGACGAGTTTTTGATGGGATACGATCGGTTCTTGTGTAAGCTGTCGGTATCTTTGCCGCTTCTCCGCTAAAGTAACTTCGTAGCCGCTTCTAACGAGCCTGAGCCGACCAAACTATTTCGAGTCAACGTCAGTTTGATTGCAAATTAGGTTAAAGTTGAAGAGAATCGACGCTAGGCAGGAGAAATTATCTCACCAGCGAAGGGCCGCTCTTCAAAGGCGAGTGTTTGGACACCACTGATCTCAGCTAGGTCGAGAATGAGCCCAGTGGGATAACTAAGTCAAGGGAGGTGGAGGGAAAGGAGAGTCCTCAAAGACCAACAGCACTTCCGAGGTCAGAAACCTTGATTGATGCTATGTTCTACTGAGACATCTTTACGTCATTTTGTCAATACTACGTCCGTAGTAAGTTGGGTGTATTGGTCTCCGTCTATCACTCCCCTTGCGAACAGTAGAGCAACTTCTGTCCAGTTCTGCTCCATGCAGAAGAGGAGCCGATAATGAATGCAAAGCTCTAGCCCCTTACTTCCCATGAGAACAGTAGAGCTGCCGGTACAGCGACCCCGGCTGAGTAGGACGCTCGGGTGTCTGTGTTCTAGCTACCCCGTCCAGGAAGGTGAGCCAGTCCAGCGCGCTCTAAAGCGGAACTAAACTTCTGAACTCCTCACGTGCCAGAGTTATGTGGAACTCTGGAGCGCTGTAAATAAGTAAGCTGGTCCGGAGTCTCGCCCAACTTGAGGGAAGCACGATTTAAGATAACAGTTACTGACGCTAAACTCACCGACTGAAATGTTTTCCTCTGTGAATCTGTGTTTGCGTTAAGCCTTAAAGTATCGATGATTTCAGTTTGCTTTTTTTGGTACGTTTTGTTTACAATGTAATCGTCACACCTTGTGTTTTAGTCAGCTGTTATGCCGTCCATCTGGTGTCTTATTCCTTGATGATTAAGTGTTTGTTTATCTGTCTGCTGCCGGCCTACCTATCTGTCTGTCTTGCGTACCTACCTGTCTGTCATTCAGTCTGTTCGTTTGTCTGTCTATTCGGGAGTTTTAAAGTAGCGGCTCCAGCTCGAAGAATTAGATCTGTGTGCATGTGAGTCTGGACCTATACGGCGATCGTTCTACCCTTTCGTTCATCGGCTAGTTGGTCTGTCTTCTGTCACTCTGAGTGATTCCAAGAATCTGTTTCTATCGTCTCAGCCATTGAAAAAGTCTGATCACATCGATCCCATGCCCATAACCCCGCCCATGTCCTTATGTGGCCGAAGATGTACTAAAGAACCTGATGCTCATGATAGAATTCCACCGGTCGCTATGTGGTGCGTCTGAAGGGTTCGTACTTTAGTCCTGTGATGCATGGTTCCCTGGTGATACAGATATTTTATGAGCTTTTTAGAGCGGACAAATTGTTTGAGTTTGATTTGGTGCAGTATGTGTTTGTGCAAAAAAAATGTGACTCCCATATTTTTAAGCTACCCGATTTTATATTTTATTTTTGCATTCCGTCACGCACTTATTATGCATATTGACTCGGCACTGCCAGCAGCCTTGATCAACCCCCAGCCAAGCAAACACTTCACTTCACATATAAACGATAAAACACTTAAACCCGTTAAATCCTGCGAACTCAGACGTCGCTGGCTGCCGTCGGACCTGGCGCATCGGCGGCCACCTCGGCGGGCAGTCCGATAGGCCAGGATTGATGGCGCCGGCCGGTCGGCAGATTGGTCCCGCGGCGACCGTTCCACCGGGCCGAAATTGGCCCTCTCTCCGACGGCGGGCTGTTTTATCCGCTCACCAGTACCCCCACCCCACACCACCCCACCTACACACTGACCCAATCATCCCCGCAGCCAGTCCCTCAGCCAGTCCCGCAGCCAGTCCCATCCCAGGTCAACGGCAGAGCTCACCGGCGGGGGCGGTGTGATGCGGGCTTTATTGCCGCCACTAAGTGAATCAGGTGGCAGCAATGGTGGCTGATTGGTTTCTTACTGCGGCAATGAAGATCATGTGGCAGGTTGAATGCCCGCCGGAGATGGGTGTAGCTCCCGGGTAATTGGTGGTCATGGAAACACAAATGGCGTGATGATGTATTTTCTTTCGTGTCTTTTACCTTCATTTTCTTATACATCTAAAGCATTAAGCATGTTCTATAAAAGCAGTAAGCACCATTTGAGGCAGGAAGAGGATGCGTCCGCATTA